AAAGAATAAGTACCACTTGAAAAAAAAAAAATCCAAAAAAAAAAAAAAAAAAAAAAAAATCCAGGAAAGAAATATAGTGGGAAAGAATTAGTAGAAAAAGGGAGAGAAAAGAAAAGCCGAATGGGCTGGTGAAAGTTTCTGGACAGTCACAGCAAGGAATTTGTGATCAAGTGGAAGTTTGTTCCTTACTGAAAGGATAGCAGGCTGTGTGAGAAACAGATGTCTTGAGGGAACAGGCATGCCTTCAAGATGGCTTTCAATATTCTTTTGTCAAAGTGGAAGCTTCTAATCCTGAAAATGAGTAAAAGATTGTGATGAGAACAAACTCACAGTTCCAGCCATTGTTATTTGGTTTTGTCTCTTTCTCACAAGAGAAATTTTACATTACACAAATACAAAATGTTTTGGGTCAGGATTTCAAAGCAGAGTGTGAAAATGAGGCTTGTTTTTATAGGTGTGGAAAGATCATAGCTCCCAGCTCAAGTCAGGATGTAATTTTTTAACCTGGAGATAAGAGTTATTTGGAGAGATTCTTAAATATCAGCAGGATGGTCCAGGAAGGGCACTGCCATTTAGAAATTAATATTAAGGAAAGTAAACAACTTTCAGGAGTGCCAAGGCTTGGCTTTTCGGCTCTTGCATAGTGAGGATTAGAGGTAGGTTTTTTCTTGGCAGCAGAATTAGTGCTGGTATCTCTTCTTAGCAATAAAGTCACTCTGCATTCAGCAAAAAGTCACCCTCTATTTGTTGATATTGCTGGTACTTGTATACGCTGCTGTGTGATGATGTGAAAAATTTTGAGGGTTTTAGCTTTTGGTATTGCAAAATACATTGTTAAACCTGAAAACGTTTAAGTATCCTCCAGTCAAATCTGTCCTGAGAAACATGGCTCAGAGAAAGCCATAGAAACCATTGGCCTTTTTCTACTATAGATGAACTACTTACCTCCATGCATTGCTCACCTGGTGATATCTTTTCCCCACTGTACAGCAGGAGATGAAAATCTGGCGAACGCCAGCTCTCCCTCCCCTGTGTTGCCTTCACCTGCACGCTCCACATCACTCTCACCTCCAGGCACCACTGAAGGTAACAGTGAATCCAGGACTGTGGCATTGCTGCTGCTCTTCTGTTTTAGCTGAACTGGCATCTACTTCTATCACACATTGGTTAACTGCGTCGCTGTTAAAGCAATCTGGTCATTTTTGTTGTCTGAGGTCAATTTTATTACAGCACCATTTTTTTAATGTGATGAGGACATACTTAGTTTTTTTTATTTTAATTAAATCAAAGATGGGGATTGGAAACACACTTTTCCAAGAAAGCGATTAGAATTCAAGCTATAACATACTGTTGTTAGGAGTTTATGTTTTCTTTATGGACATCCCTTCCCCTTGAGCTCTCGGATGAGAGTTTCATGCTGAGCTGTCACAGTGGCACTTCCCTGCTGTTCATGTAGAGCTGCTCGGGCACCATGACAGTGTGTGACGGCTGGGGGAAGAGGGTCCTTCCTGGATCAACACCACAAACCAAACCCACCCCAATCAGTCTGGGCTTTTTCCAAGCCGCACATTAATTCACCCTCTTCAGCTGGTGTTTTCAAACACCTGAAATGAGTGCATCCCCCACACCTTGCTAAAGGATGATCAAATCTCTTTGCCACAAAGGCATCCCAGACAAATTGGTGGGAATTTGTAATTAGTGGTCTTGCAGACCTAATCGCAAACAATCCTCTTGAAATAAATCTAAGCAGATGCGTTGCACTGACTGTGCAGGACGTGGAGAGCAATGCAAACTTGTTCTTTTTGCCAGTGCTGGAGGGAAAAATATAATTCAGAGAGCAGCTGCAGCCTTTCTGCTTGCAAAGAGCTTCTCACTTTCGTGCATTATTCACCTGATGATATTTTTTCCCCGCTGTGCAGCAGGAGATGAAAATCTGGCAAACACCAGCTATCCCTTCCTTATGTCACCTACACCTGCACACTCCACATCACTCTCACCTCCAGGCACCACTGAAGGTAATGGTGGATTTGGGACCGCGGCATTGCTGCTCTTCTCCTGTTCCAGCTGAACTGACATTCACCACAGTCTTCCTGATACTGTCTCCACCCCTCGGGCTGCACAGCACAGACTCCTGGCTCAAGGAAAAGTGATTTTTAATGTGGACAGTATCAGTCCACATACCGTATGCTTGATATTTTGGGGGTCTGGTTGTTGCTACATGCCACTAAATATTATTTAAGAATGTGTAATTCTCTGGGGAAAGCTCAGCTGATAGCTGGGAGGAAGGAGTGTTTCTTTTTATATTTTTGACCTATGATTGTGTTTAATTCCTTGAAAGTTTAATTTACACTTTGTCTTTCTGTTTTTAAGGACTTGAGTCAACAGTGACTACATCTGGTAAGAAACTTTTAATTTACATGACAGACCTGCATTGATGTTTTTTTCTGATCATTTCTTCTTTCCTTTTCCTGTGCACAGTTATCTCACAGAATGTGTAATGCCTTTTTATTCAGCCCAATGAAATGAAATATGCTGTCTTAAGAGGCAAGAATATCAGACAAGTCTGGTTTTGAGTCATGAATTTGAGTATATTTTAAAACACAGCATTTAACACGAAAGAGGTGCAGTCAGCGCCAGAAAGGATTATACTTACTGGATGTTCAGCTGACATCTGTTGGACCCCTAACATTTTTAGCGGTCGGTGTGCCTTTGGTTAATAACAAAGTGAGAGTGCCTCAGTACAAGAACGCTCTGGCACAGCAGTCCTGTGTTGTGTGCAGCTTTGTGTCCCACCTTAACCGGGCAGCCTCTGAAGCATTAATGAAACTGCTGTACCTCTCACCACAGGTGTCTCTCCTGCAGACAGCACATACTTCTCCACGCACGCAGGCTCTGTCCCTGCCACGGGACTCAGCAACCCACCACGCAGCAGCTCTGCCGCCCTCACCACACGCACTCCCATTGCCTTCAAGAATGCTTCATCAGGTTTGCTGGCTTGCTTTAGATGCCACTCACTGCTCTCCGAACTGTAGGGGAAAACTATAATTTAGCCTCAGGGTAGCCTTTTCCAGCTTATGATTCATCAAATAGAAAAGGTAATCTGCAATGTGGGGTAGTGGTAATACCAGAATTATTTCCGGGATCTGGTCAGTATCTGATGGTCAAGTTTGTAGTCATCACAGTAGTATCAAAATGCCAGCCACTGTCAACAAGGCTGTTACCAAGGCAAGAGCAATAAGAAGGGACCTAAAAGAGAATGTAGAAACCTGTCAGTGGTTTATAAGCAGGGAGATAAATACTGAGATATAGTAAGTAACGTAGTGAGCAAGGTATGAGATCTGGCAAATGAACAGTACTGGAGTGCTTGCTTCTGAAAGAGCACAAGCACTATTCATAATTGTGTTTTACTGTAAGAACACTGCAAAATGTTTTAGCTTTTCCCAGTTCAGTTATTAATGCCATTTTTATGTTGACTCCATCCCAGATTATGCCTAAATAATAAAAAAAAAAAAAAAAAAAAAAATTTCTTTGTACATTGCAAAATTAATTAGTAAATGGTGTATTCCTAAAAGCTTGCTTTCTATTTAAATCTGTTTTATTGGATATATTAACATGATTTTTCTTTCAATGCTCTTCTCTAAATTACAAATATCCTGGAAGAAAAAAAAAGTGGACAAGGGCTGTAGTACAAGACATTTCTGATGACATAGCCATATGAAATAATGAGTTTTACTTTTTAATGCTGATATGTTGTTTATTTCCTTACAGATTATTACAATTCAACATCCTTGCACAGCACCATCTCACCAGACAGCACGCCAGCAAACACTGGGATCATCCCCAATCACACAATAGGTGACAAACTTGCACACAGTCATCACAATTATGATACTGCAAGTACAGGAAATGTGTTAGAATGAGGGAATCAGTTTTGAATTTCTTTTATCAAAATTAAGCATACAAATTAGGCATACAATTGCATTAAACCTAGAGTCTTTTTAGGAATCTTAATACTATTTTATGAATAATATTAAAGATATAAGATTTACTACTTGTCAAGCAAGTGAAAAATAGAAATTAGTTCCACACAGTGGCATAGTAGGAGGGCAAACCTGTCAATTACTGTGTCAGTACTCCTCTTGATATTCACAGAAATTTGCCCAAGCAGCAAAAAAAGTATGAATACATCCACAGATCTGTTTGCTACTCTGTTTTTTGGTGGCTTCCCTTTTGTTTCACTCAGCATTAACATTTTCTTGGGATCTACTATTGCAAGCACTTACGCGCATTGTTATTGCAATTGGGCTGTAAGGAATTACTCAGGTCAGTAAAATATATGTGTGCTTGAGCAAAGTACATCCAGGAGCTGGACTCTTACCATCTTTATAACTGCCCTTCACATAGCTGTAGGCTCCTGTCAGCTCTTTGACAGACTGAGCTTAGCTTTTACTTGTGGGTCTTCTGCCCCTCACCGTCTTGGTAACTCTCCACTGGACCCTTTCAGTTTACCCTCTCATTAGGGGCACTACTCAGCCAGATGACTCCCAGCCTGGAGGGATACAAATCTAGGGTCTGGCTTCTGTGAAAAAAACTAGGTATCAGTCTCTTGGGGTAATACTTATACCTTAGTATATATTAAGTAATTGTTTTCAGGATGAAGTTCTTTGCTCAAGCTTCTGTACAGGTTTTCTAAATACCAGCTCATACTTTCTTTTGGGTGTTTTAGTGTAAAAATAACTGTAAAATGACCTGTACTGTTGCATAAATCTCTTTCCAAAGGTAAGAGTAGCTGTGCAAAAAGTAGGTAAATTTTGTTTCTTTAGTGACATCGGATACAGTTCAGTTAGCCGTTCTACAGGATAGGTATCCTGGGAAACTGCTATACCTTATCATACCACTATGGGAATGTGTGATTTTGGAATATTCTTGTGTAACTTAGTATGCAGGAATATTATTAATAACCAGTTTGATTTGTAGTCAGTGATTACATTGGAAAATGATGAAAGACACATGATCCCTAAAATAACTAGTTTAAAAATGGGGTTATATGTAGCTGTTGTTTTCTTCCCTTTTTCAAATGTGAGTGGAGCGCTAAATACAATTATTGTATTGAATGAAGAGTTTTGGGCAGTACCCGTCACCCTCCTCCAGTGCTCTGTGAAAAAAATCCAAACCTGCTGAGCTACACCTTCATTTTGTTTTCTTTTCTTATAGCAACTCCCACAGTGACACCTCAAGGACCTTGTGGTAAGAACCAAACCCCTTATTTTTCTCAGTCCTGAAATTTGACCAAATCACTAAATTCAAATACAGAAAACTGATCGGTAAAATTGATCAGCATCTCAGGTTATTTGATAAACTCTCTTCCAATTCTGGAAGAGTAGGATTACAGTTATTAACATTTCTGGTCATCTTATCTTTTAAATTGCCCTGCACTAGGCTGTTGGTATCATGGCTGCAAAAAATATCTGCCTTTATTCCATGAGGCCTTCTCTAACTTCTCCCCACCCTGCTGATAATCACAGTCTGCAAACTGCAATTCATAACTAAAGTAATACTAATATTTGGACATTAGTTTATCTGTCTTCAGAATTAGAGAGCTCTCCCCTCTAATTTTCAGGAATAGACAATAACCATTATTTATGAGATGGTTATGAAATGTTTTGAATAAGAAAATTTGAAATTTCTGTTCAAACAAATGATTCAATGTGTCAAAACAAAGTATTTCACTTTGAACTGAAATTTTAAATTAAAGCAAATCTGGTTCTGGAATGTTAATCTTTTTAATTCTTTAGTTTTCCTAACTAGAGAATTATTTAAAAGAATATTTTCCTAAGAATACCTTCTGTTTTGACTAAACAATTTTTTAAAGTAAAATATAAATAAAAAGTAAAAATAAAGAATAAGGAGCAGCTAATTTTGCTGTATTTCTGATTCTTACAACACATATGGTGCTGGGAGTGCCATAAAACATTTAAATTTTTTTTTTTTTAAATTGTCATAAAATCATTGTTTGCTATTTTATCTTTTTCTTTTAGATGATGGTGTTGAACACAAAATAAGTATATACAAAAAGAATAACACCGCAGAAGTTATACTGAAAAATCTCACAGAAACGAGAAAATATCATATTTGGGGGGCTAACAAGAAGTTATTTTCATTTACAAATGGTGACACCTATACAGTAAACCTTCAGACATGCATGAGATATACAATTGAAGTTGAAAATTGCACATACAAAAATTTTACTATTCAGCCTGGTAGGTATAGAAGGGGTTTAGTGGGGTTTGTTTGTTTGGGTTTGGTGCTTTTGTTGTTTGTTGTTGTTTGGTTTTTTTCCCCCACATGCAATAATAATTCACCTTTCCTGGATTTTTTAGTCTATTCCTGTCTCTTTTCAGAGAATCAGACAGAAGGTTTTCATACTTTGTGCTTGGTTTGCAAGAGATTCTGCATTTTGAAGTGGCACCTTAAAACCTCTCAGTATTTTCTTAAAGTAGGATATAAAAAAATGTATTTTTTCTCATTGTAAAGGAAAAAAGGGAACTTTAACCACATTGGTCATATGCAGCATGGTTAGCAATAGCGAGACCAGCCAGCACTTGAAAGCTACTATTTATGCTAGATGTTTTGTTCACTAAAGAGATTTTTGGATTGAAAGTTTCATTTATTCTTTGAACGCCAACATTGTCTTTATCTCACATAGGTTTTTTCAATTTTTACTTTTCTGTGCAAATTGTATCTTCATATTGCAGAACAAGTCAACAGATATAAAAGAACAAATTGCTATTTAAAGAATCAATATAGTCAATGTCACTGTGCCATATAATATGAATCCTTTTCAGCTAGCAGCGAGAAACCTTTCAACGTTACGGATAAAACCAACACCTCTGCAAGGGTCTGTTGGGAAGAGTCATGTGCCTGTGCTAATGTGACTGTTAGCTGTCAAGGTAAGACATTTTGAAGATATTTTAAAAGTTGATTTTTTTTTATTTATTTTTTAAAGCAATGTTGATGATGTCTTTTGATGAGACACTGGCAGATTTAAATTAATTGTGCCAGTTTGAGGATTTGTTCAGAATTTCTGGGATTGCCAGGTTGGGGACTACCGTCCCCATGCACTGCAGATCTGGGGAAGTTCAAACCCAGAGAGCTTAATTCCTGAGTTTACCAGCTTCACAAATTGCAGACTTGTGAAGATTTTGAAGTCCTGCTTGATCGTCTGAAGGTGAGTTGAGAGTTTGGAAATCATGCAATCTGTGGGTCTGCTGTGAGCTGATCCCTTGCAGACTACCCAGGCAGTTGGCTCTGCAGGCTCCTCGATGGTGAGAATCCAGGCTCTCTGCTCTTGGAGCTGGCCAGCCTTAGGAGACACTGGCTCCAAGGCAACTGGTGTGGTAGGGAAGATATGGATGCTGAGTGTCCTCATGTGACCCAGAAAAATGCATGAGGAATGTCCACGGCTGGGGATTTCATGTTTTGGGGAGCTGAAGAGCTAAGAAGCCGCTCAAGAGTTCTGCCAGATTCCCATGAAATGTTTTGATTTCTGTGGGAAAACTGTTTTATTAGAAAGTCAAATCACGTGAGCTTTACTGATGAAAAGTAAAGATCTATGCAAACTAAGTTAATATAAAAGAACCTAAAACCTAAGTATTGGATGAGGTTGTACGCTTTTCTGTTATTATGAATATGTTATTATGTTATTATGTTTTCTGAATATTATGATAGTTTACTACCAGTTATATTGAATAAATATGGTAGAGAAAATCCCACTTAAAATGGTACTATGTACTTTTGGAGTTGTGAAAAATATTGATAAAACTCTTTTTGTGTCTATAGGTTTAGAAAAGGCTACAATATTAAATAAAACTTGTCAACACCTGAAGAGGTTATCACCCAACCATGTGTACAACTGCCATGGTACCATAAATGTTTTTGAAAATGAGGTTGCCAACCAATACTTCAGCATAGAAACAGATTATGGTGGTAAGTGTAATGATTATTTTTGGTTTATGTTCCACATATTTCTGGAAAACCATACTATGAATCCCACCATCAGTTTCTCCTGAGGTTGAAGATGTATCTTAAGCAGCGTGCTCAGCCACTCTCAGGTTCTCCTCCAGCTCCTCCCACCTGGTCTCCTGCCCTTGTGGTTCTTGTCTGCAGTTACAGTCTTCCTTTCCCTCCCCAACCCCAGTCTCAGTCTTCCAGTCAGATGCTTTCCTCTCCTTCTCTCAAAGACTGTGACTTTTTTTTTTTTTTTTTTTTTTGAGGGTGAGAACATGGCCAAATGTAAGGAAGTTTGAATGAAGACAAAAAAAAGTGCAGGCCTAGTCAAAACAAGTGTTAAATAGGTGATTTGAAGAAAGATGTGATAGAATAATTGCAAAGAACATCTCCAGATAAAATGATGTGCCTTTCCAAAACATAGTCCTTGGAAACAGCTTAGCTTTTTTTCTGAATTAAAAAGGATATGAACCTAAATGAAATAACCTGCAAATAAAAATTCGGGCCAAATGTTTAAAGTTTGTTAAAATTATAAAGAAATCAAAACAATGTATAATATTTGGAAACGTTGGACAATTTTAGTAATATGTGATATTCCTCTATTCACTTTGTCCTGAATTAAATAAATTTATGAAATTAATATGATGCTTTTACATATACTCAGTTTATACTTATGTATAATTTCTTTGAACAAAATGGACTACAAAAATATTACATGTTGTTGGTATCTTGCTTTAGCATCCAATGAAATTTAATTTAATCAAAGTAGGTAAAAAGAGGAATATTGTGCATCGTCATTCAAACAGTTCCTTCCCTCTCCGTTATTTTTCTTTTTCAACAGATCCAGAAGCAGTAGAAAACATTTCAGTAGTTCCTAATGCCACAGCAGCATTAGTTAAATGGAAGCAACCTAGCAACGTTTCAAAGGGTCCTATACATGGCTATGAAGTGATATGCAATGGCACAGGCACACGTAAGTATATGCCCCTTCAGTACTGAATGATTCCTTACATGTTTTAGTATTTACAGACCACCAAGTGTGATGCACTGTCAAACCATATTAGAATCTCTTCAAACCGTGTAGATTATGTTTTGTTTTGTTTTGTTGGTACAAACATTTAAGTTTCTTTCCTTTGAGGTTATTCCAGTTGAACCATGTGGTTATTCAGTTTACCATTTCAGGACACAACTCTGTCACCCTTCAGTTCTCATGCTTCTTGTATTAAGAATAAGTTATGACAAGATCTCCAGTTTTCTGATCAGTTTGTAGCATGATGCTCTCTCTCAGAAAATGCTGCCATAGCTGGTTAATATATTCTCTGAGAAGACAGGGACCTGCCTTCTGAGTAACAACAATGTATGTAAAAGTCAGGGGTCCTAAGTATGGCAGTTAGCATATAGATATTTAGATAGGTAAAGCCAGGTGGTTGTCTTCTACTAAATGGTCACTCCTTTCAGATACCCTGTTTTAGGCCACCTTCCATTTAGGTGGGTAAGTCTGTATCCATTATACTGGAACCATGTTTTCCAGGTGTGAGCTTTTCTTCAAAACAAGGACTGGAAAATGATGCTTTGAAAATGAAGAGCCTGATACATGATTCCAGGAAATATATGTCAGATTTAAGCTAGTCTTGGGTTAATTCATTCTTTTTCTGTTCACATACTGCATGTTTTGTAACCCTGGCCTGCCACAGGAACCAAAGGCTGTCGTGCTGGTGTGTTCCACAGATAGATACAAATAATCTCTCCCATTCTTCATGCCCCGAATCTGACCACTACCCAGAATGGTGGTAGCCCCATGCACCAGTTTTTGTGTTTGGTCTGGCTTGGCCAATGCAGGAGGCCAACGTAGTATGCTGGGGGTGTGGGGAGGTCACATCTGAAGCAGACAGAAGAAAACGTGGAAAGGCCATTGCTCTCCAGTTCCCCAAGCCACCAAAGCCCCGGCTGCAGCGTGGGTAATAGCTTCACTTGTGTTGCTTCTCATGCAATTCCTTTCTGTCCTGCTTGCCACTATGACACTCTTGTGTCATACCAGAACAGACTTGTGCAGAGTGACTTTTGACATCTGTCTACTAATCCCTTCCCAAGCTGAACACAGAAGAAAGTATCAGCCTCTCTTTATCGGTGTCCTTTATGGTAGTTTTTAGTTACACGTATTTAAATGACATGTGAGTAAAAACCAAACCAGAACAAATTTCTACCTTTTTGATTGGGGAATATATTTCTTCCTCGTCCTGAGCCTTCACTTAGCATTAGTAGGCAAGACACACCAACCAAGTACAAGATAATTAAAATAGAAGTACACATGACAGCAGTTCAGGAAGGTCTGATGAAGTGTAAGAGTTCCTGTTCTCCTAACATAAATTCCATTAATTTCATTAATTAATTTCATTTTTCGTTTTTTCTTAAAGAGAATGGAACTGCCAACACAACTGACTGTACTTGCTCTAACTTAGAAGCTTATGCCGACGGTTCTGTAACTGTGACTCCGTATACAAAGAGCAAATATGGTGAGAGAACGTTTAGAGGAAAACCTGTAACACATAACTTTAAAACAAAATCAAGAGGTAAGTCTCTTGTTAGCTGTTACAAACAAGGCTGATACTAACACAGGGAATATGTACTTTCTTATGATGCTTCATTACATTTTACATATGTTACTATTAGCCAAGAAACTGATTTAACGTTGAAAGAATTTTATTGACATTTATATCATTAGTGTTTCTTTTATAATTACTTAATGTTAATCTATTTTTAAATATGCATTTATTATTAGTATTCTTATATGTATTAGATTTTTTTAAAAATTCTACATTCATTTAAAATCCCTGATAAGATTTTTAGAAAGCATTATGTCCCAATCTAAAGAAAATATTCAAATTAAACAAAAAGAGATTTTTATTTATAACCTTATATAAACATTTGGTTTTTTTCTTTGTGGCATGAAAGCTGCAAAGATGTGCAGAATGTACCCTGTGTTCTGTAGCTGCCTGTTTGCTCAAAGCAGACCTGCATTACCCAGGCTACACCAATACTGATGTCTGTACCAGGTTTCAGTTAGTTCGGATGTGCACGTACGCACACAGTCGGCTTCTAAGACTCCACCTTAGGTTAAAGCCAAATGTGTGCCAACCCTTGTGCTGTCAGAAAGGTCTGTGCACCGTTTTGGGTGGTCCTGATTCTTCGTTTGCCATACATGTTCAATTGATAGAACTACAAGAAAAGCTAAAAAAACCCGAAAAACCCAACAGACTGCGTATATTTTCCTGATGCAGACAAGGTGTAATAGAGATGCAGTCCTTTCTATTTTGTTGTTTGGTTTTTTTTTTTTTCCTTTCAATCTTCAGATGTAGGGCCTCATACTGTTTTAACTCCTTCTTAGAGAAAAAACAAAACAAAACCCAGCTAAAACCACCCAAAAAAATCCATGTTTATCTAATTTCTTCCAGTACTTTTTAAGCTCTAGTTCCACCACCTCCAGACTCAGCTAATATAGGGATAGAGCTATAGGCAAACTATGATGTTTTATACCTGGTAAGACACTAAATTAATATTTCCTTTAATTTCACTGAATAAGCAAAACTTTTTTTAGTGAAAAATAAAATATTATTTTTGTGCTAGTGATGTGATGATAGAGTCGTGACTCCCCCCCCAACAGCAGG